ATTCCCCACACCTATAACACGTTTCCATATCGAAATTCTTCACGTATTAGTCCAAATTTCATTAGTTTCTAGCATAACGATGAAGTTCTGCGACCCCTGAGTGCCCCACAAGTAGTAGCCTTCTAGTAGAAGCTCTGTCAGTGCAATTTCTAGACATTGACTAGGGAATCTCTGTAAGTTCAATTACACTCATTATTATTTTAATGTAATTTTTATATTATAAATTCATAGTCGTTGTTATGAATTTATAAATAATATTTGTCAGTAAATCCAACGTCATATTAATGATTGATCTACTACGGGGATGATGTATAGGCTGGATTTAGTGAGGTGTTTAAAGTGAGATTTCCAAACAGTATACTTTGTATACCAAACGGACTCTACCTCCAATAAGATCATATCTGGTTATCTCTTATCAGCTATAGATCAGTAGAAATTGGGATTATTGAGAAATCTAGACTATCTTTAGTCACAAAGAATATTATTCTAAGACTTAGTGATAATTGAACCTAGGTCACATCAAAGGAAAGGCTAAGTGCTGAAGTGAAGCGCTGCCCAACTTTCTAGTTATCCACTTTAACAAGTGAGTGCATAGTTACTTTCAACTTACACATAGATATAAAGTATCTAGATGATCCAATGCTATGTGTACCTATTATCTGAATTACTTGATATATGTGTTAGATAAATTATATGATTTTACTTGGTTAATCATATATGTATTTTCTTATATATTTATATAAAATATGCTAGGTAGTAATGGGTGATGAAAATGATGAGATGATGATGAGAGGACTTGACTATTGATGAACCAGTCGTCTAGCAGAGTATAGATGACGACCACAGACTATTCTAGACATTCAAGTAGAAACGTTGGCAGACTCGCAACCTGTAGGTGTTAGTGAACTATAAGTTCATTAATGTACTCTATCCCCCATGGGTTGCCTTATTGACATTTATTGCTAAAGGAATCCCCCAAGCAATATTGTCTACCCGCTGATGATGATGATTCTTAGGATAAGTTCCTTGCGATCAATATTTTAGGATCAATATGTGAGAATAATGGGAATGAGTAATAGGGTAAATTAATTGATGTGAAATATATAAATAATTTAATTATTGTGGGATGAAAACCCTATGTCCTAACCAAGCCCCACACCTGAACCATTCAGTTTCTTTGCATCACAGGTAGCGACACGAAGGCCCTATGATGTTGAATGATTTATTGATAATTGTTGGCCATATCGTAATAAACTATTCTAAGGCTTGTAATATTTTCGTTATGCTTATGTTTCTGTATTGACGATGACATCCCGAAATTATTAATGAAAAATATTTCTTCGGAAATGCTTGGTAATAATATTGTTACATTATTGGGAACAAATTCCACATTATAATTCTTTAAGGTTTGTAATATTTTTGTTATGCTTATGACATCCCGAAGTTATTAATGAAAAACATTTCTTCGGAAATGTTTGGTAATAATATCGTCACATTATTGGGAACAAATTCCGCATTATAATTCATTAAAATGGATACTCTGAAATGAAATAAACATAATTAAATTGATCTTTTCTGACCGTAAAAATGAAGATGTCACATTAACAATCTCCTTCTAAGAAACAACTATATCTATATTAGCTCCAACCGTTTAGCCAAAATAGGTAAAAAGCATTTTAAGAGAGACACATCCAAAACGATTTGCTAGGGAGGTCACGACATCCTCCCCATCCCAACACTAATAAGCTTATTTTTGTGAATATTAATTTTCAATTATAAAGCAATAAAAAAACAATGTATAAGTCGAATCAGATTTTCCATATTATCTTTAAACCATTCCCCGATGAAAGTGGCTTCATCCGCATAAAAAAGATCGTAATACCGAAACAAAGACCTTTGAAAACATCGTTGGACATAGCTTGTTCAAAAGCAACATGAAGAGCTTCCATAACCAAAATAAAAAGAAAAGGCGACAGAGGATTACATTGCCTCAAATCGCGAGAGAACTAGAACCTTTTGGTAGGCACGCTCTTAAGAAGAACCGAACATGGAAGAAGCAAGACATCCATGGATCCAATTCCGTTATGTAGAATCAAAACCCATCTTTTGAAGAATCATATCCAAAAAATTTCATCTAAGTGAGTCGTAAGCTTTTACGAAATCTACTTTGAAGATCAAAGCCCTTCCCCGATGCTTTTTTTACACCAATGCAATACCTCATTTAGGATCATAGGACCATCTATAATCTGTCAGCCTCAAATAAAATCTGATAGCTGCCAATTGACAATGCCATCAGTGACCTTGGTAAGACGATTGACTAAAAGTTTGTCAATAATCTTGTACTGACAACCGATTAGACTAATAGGGCGAAAATCTAAAACAAATTTTGCATCAACAACCTTAGGGATAAGAGCTATGAAAGATAGATTTCAACCCCAATGAAAGATAACCGATGCAATATAATAACTAGATATATAAAAATGTCTCCATGGTAGAACATTCCCGACATGGAAAATAACATTCCCGGACATGTCGAACTCCAAAATCCGTAGAACATTCCTGATATGGAAAATAACATTTATCAAAACCCAAAATTTTTACAAAAGATGAAGCACATTACAATATAAGAGTATAAAATGGTGTCATTTCGATAAAAACCTGTTCAATCTAAACATCTCCATGGTAGGGGTTGTGAGGGATTTTTTTAGAGGGGAATATGGAAATGGAAAGAATACTAACTCTATGGCGTCGGAAATCCCAAATACCTTTGTTTCGGGCTAAAAGGTCATTTCATTAAACAACGTTAACGAAAAAAATGTGTTTTATATCTACTTACACTAATACACAAGTCATTTAATAGTGCGAGTAGTTTTTATTTTTTGAGGCAGTCCATTCTAAAAACCGCCTCATTAAATATCTATAGCATCAAAAAATAAAAGAATCGCACTATAAAATATCTTTGTTAGTGCGGTTTCCCAAAATCGCACCATTAAAGCATTTTTTGATGCGGTTTTCCGAAACCGCACCAAAAAATCATGTGGAAACCGCTAGATCCCTCTAAAAATTTCATTCGAATTTTTCATTTCGCGCTAGATCCCTCCAAATTTCGTTCAAAATTTTCATGTTTTTCAAAATTTTCATTCAATCTTCCCTCTTTTATCTAAAGTTAGAGATGCAACTTCTTCTCATAATTATAGATTTGTCGATTCTATGTTTGAAAACGCATGTGAGGTATGCCAATTATTTATCTTTTTTTCATTAACGGCATTTGTGCCTCCGTTTTTTCTCTTATTAATTGTAAATTGATGTCCTATTTTAAGTTTTAATGATGTTTTCTCTTGTTCTGAATCTCTGCATATACATCTTTTTTCGTGATATATCTCCAAAAAAATATCCAAAGACTTATGATGTTTGCTTCAGTGACTTTCAATCAACGGATATGGAGCTAGTTTGTGCAAAGTGGGTTTTAAGATGTTGAAAAAGAAATTGAAAACACCATCGATGAAATGTGATTTTCCAAGAACAGATTTTTAATTGGTAGAGAAAAAGAAATTCCAGAGATTGAAACCACCCCTTTTGGAGAAAAGAAATTACAATTAATTTTTGATTGAAAAACACTCACCGAACATACCTAAATACAAGAAAATGAATCTTCACAAGTAGCGTGGTGTGCATCAATGGCGGACCTGTTAATTGGTATGGTTTTAGCTAGCTATTTTTTAAGGCGGTTTTGGCTATTTTTTAGTGCGATTTTGGCTATTTTTTTAGACGGTTTTGGCTATTTTTTTGGTGTGATTTTGACTATTTTTTGAGGCGGTTTTGAGTATTTTTTGGTGCGGTTTTGAAACCGCACCATTAAATAAGGGTATTTTTTGATGCGATATTTTTTGGTGCGGTTCAATACCCGCATCATTTAATCATTTTAACCGCATCAACAAATGCTTTCTGTACTAGTGTTATTCTAAAATATGACATTTTTTGTGAATATCCCTTTGAATTACCTAAGATAAATTATTAGAAACAAATAAAAACAATATTTTTTTTATACATTATTTATTTTACCAAACTTGATCACCTATACGTCATTTTAATCAATTCAATTGTATGAAGCAAAAAACCATAATTATGTTGTTTAAATATGTAATTAAAGAATGTGATGTTTTGGTTTAAAACATATAAATAAGTACGTAGTGGAAATGATGGGATGTGTGGGAGCTTATCAACATCCAGCTGTTATCTACAACCATGGAGAAATAAATTGTATTCATTTCAAAACTTCGATCATATCTCCCATTCACATAACCAATTCAAACTTTGACTTTGTTTACATGGTCAAAACATGATGTCAATATGAAGTCATGTCATTGCAGTTTTTATGTTTCCATAGCTACTTTCATACCAAGACTAATTAATGTGTTATTATGCCTTAAACCCAGTCCGATTAACTCGACATATCTCCAGGAAACACGATACATCAAACACAAATACTATACGGAGAAGGAATCATAAAGATGGTTATAAAAGAGGAAAGGAATATTCATGGAATACCTAGAAAAAGAAGGTATTTGGTCCTAGACAAAAAGATTAAGTGGACCCAGGAGAACAAGGACATGACACCTGCAAGGAAACCGCGTTATAAACAGGAAAACATATCTCTGTCTTCCAAATTCACAAATTGGTCAATAGCCAACACTCCATGAACAAGTGCATTATAATTTAAAAAGAACTAACTGAAGACACATGTCAAGCCTATCAATGGTTGCCGAAAAGATTATTGTCACGATGCAAAGATCATAAAGATAAATATCTATTGATGATCGTTTCTTGAAGTAGATTGAAACTACTTCGAAGCTGCCATTATTAAACAACATATATGTATATATATAATATATCAATGACTAGTATTGCGTATATCCACATCTATAAATGCATGTCTAGATTGCGTTCTAATGCATTACCTTAAACAAGAATATTTTAGCCAATTAAACAATTTAAGTACTATGAATGAGAACTCATACACTCATAGCAGCGGAGGTGGTACTTCTTCGGTTTACAGGGGTGTCCGGAAGAGGAAATGGGGCAAATGGGTATCTGAAATACGTGAGCCAGGAAAGAATTCTCGAATCTGGTTAGGGAGTTTTGAGACACCTGAAATGGCGGCAGCAGCATATGATGCAGCTGCATTTTACCTCAGGGGTGATGTTTCTAAGCTTAACTTCCCAGAAAGAGCAACTGCTCTCCCTAGGCCACTTAGCTCCACTGCAGAATGCATACGCATGGCTGCTCATGAGGCTGCCTCGCTGTTTGGACCAGCTTCCATGCCGGAGCAGGGTGGCTCCAGCTCAGGTCATACAGTGCCGGTGAATGTCGGACTTTCTCCTAGCCAAATTCAGGCAATAAATGATTCACCACTTGATTCTCCGAAATTATGGATGGAATTGGGTGATGCTCTTATAGCTGAACAGAAAATGTATTTTTCTAACACTACTAACTTTGATCATATTCATATGGCCGGTGATTGGGACGAGATTCCCGACTATCCCCTCTGGGAATAATTCTTAGGTAACAATCCATTAGGAGAAGATGCATGGGCACGTGCATAACCTTTTAGTATCTTACTTATGCATTACTTATCTATATATACATATAATACGTAATAGCTCTGCATGGGGATTAATTGTTAAAGATTATTTTTTAAGAGCTAAAAAATGGTAAGAGTTGCTAGATGTGGGTTACTTATCAAATTCAGAACCAAGTCTTTTCGCCACTGAGTTTTTGCGTAGGGAAAAGATCTTTTTAGGTTTCATATATAGTTATCTATTGCAAGTATTTGGGCGTTTCTAGCGACACTTTTTTAAGCCGCCTATGAGAGAACGGAAAGGAATGCTATACGAATAAAGCTATAAGGTGCAAACTAACCCTACGTTCTACGTTTGACATTCGGGGTGGCCCAAGAATAAAGGATCAGCAAGATAATCTTTAACAGCATGCGGGATTCACAGTTAACATATTGATCATCTATTGTGAATTCCATCAGAGGAGCTGATTTTATAGAAGCTCATTTGAGATTACTGCTTAGTGCTAGCAAGGGCCAGTTGCTTAGCAGAATCAATTCTTTACTGTGTTGTGTTTATTGTTTTCTTTTTCATCCTGATGTAAACAGGAATGATTCCTGCAAGGTTATGATATACAAATTATATTGATTTCTATTATATATCTGTGTAGTTCCTACTGGTAGATGCTACAGCCTACAGGTCTATATATGGTTACCAAGAAACTTACCATGAACATGCAAATTAAATGACTCGTTTCAAAATACATAGATGATCTGCAGAAACATGAGTTAAGTCTAGTGTACATATATAGCAAGGTTTTCTTGAAATGACAAGAAAGGGTACATTTTTATATATTGAGTGACCTACGTACTTGGTACTTCTACATCCAACAAGTTCCTCAATGTACAACACACCTGCAAACTCACTCCACTTTCAGATTTTGCCATGCCATGCAAATCAAGCAATGAATTTTAGTTGGAAAGAAAGCATTCGAGAGCAAAATATAAAAGATGGATGCATGGATAATATTTTCTGAAGCTCTAATATAATAAAGGGTCATACACACTAGCTAAATAAATGGGGCGACAAACTTATGCTTAATTGTTCGTGAATGATGCCTTCTGACTTAGGAAGCATGGTGTAGTAATTAATCCAAGAATAAAGTATATATTAGTTACTGTTGGGAAGAAAGAGAATATTTGAATAGAAGAACAAAGAGAACAAATAGGTAATGTCACAAACACAATTGTTTCATCACTGTGTAGTTTGGATTATATTTGAAACAAACAGAGTATCTTCTAGTTATATACCGGGACGCTCAGATAACTTAAGAGAACTCAAGAACACGGAGGTCCGGAGGCAGCGCCTTTGGCGGGGTCAAGGGGCCCGCCCTTTTTGGTATACAGGACAACGCCCCGCCCCGGAAAATAATCCATATAGGGGTGATGGGCCAGAAAAATTCCTGCCAAAAAACCGTAGTTGTGTCCAATTAAAAGAGGCTTCGTTTCACCCCTAAAAAATGTCATCTTCTACATATAAAATAAAAGATTTGTATGTTGCAGATGATATATATAATAACTGTTTTTTTTCCTCTGCATTATGTCTCTGAAGAATGCAAAAATACCAAGGTATTCTGTGTTTGAATCTCGGATTTAGCCTGAAATGTAGATTTATTTTTTCTTGAATTATCCCAAATCAAATTTCGTTATGACCCAAGGAATATGGACGAAATCATAGATTTTGGAAAGTGTTTTACATACACGATCTTTGAATTATCCAAGTATATCGAATGATATTCAAAACCCAAACTCTAACAATAATCTTATTATGCGATATAAGTTGTGTACAATATAAGATACGAGAGATACGATATTTCTAGACAATACATGAACTATTGCACCATATCTGAAGCATTGTGACCCTTATGAACAAACAATCGCTTAAATAACTTTCTATCCGTTAACCACCAAGGCTAGCTTACTTCGGGTACTTCCCCTTAAGCTATACACGATCCATTTATTCCTTGGTGTTGCAATAATGATCAATATTGACTTGATGATAAAACGTCCCAAAAATACTAAGTAAAAATCTCAATTTTTAACCATTAGATTATTCGTTCACAAGACAATCAGAGTATAATTTATTCTCAAACAGAGTCAAAATCATAAATCAATAATGCAGAAATAAAACTCTAGGGGATGCAATGCGATCAAGCCCCTTCCATTTGAAACCAGAAGTACCTGAAACATTTAAACATAAAACCGTAAGTACAAAACATAGTGAGTTATCCAAAATACCACATAACTATACGAGCGCCACCCACAAACATAACGGGCCCCACCCAATTAGCATAACGGGCCCCACCCAGCTCATATATCAGGCCCCGCCCAACATACATAACACCCATTTCACATAACGGGCCCCACCCAATATATATACACGAGTCACAAAGACAATTATCCTCCAACATAGCATAGTGAGGAGACTCATCTCACACTCGAAGTCGAACTGACTATAGCTCATATATTCGGAAGGTTGGCGCTACACATCACCTAAAGAACCAAATAAGGTCAACCCCTTAGTTTATTTTCCAAATTACCAATTTGGCTAAAAGTTAATAGGTCAAAAAGTCAATGGTCCACAGTCACCATGTCGTGGCCAACCCCTAGCCACGTCGTGGCAGTTAAACGACGAAACAGTCGAGGAAAAACCCATCACCACGTCGTTATCGTTTCTACTTATACCAAAGTAGATAAACTAATGTTTAAGATTAAGTTATGGTTTGTACTTATACCAATCACATATTCATATATGCCATTGAAAGGATTTACTTTAAAATAATGAGTATTATCTTTGTAAACCAAAATACTAGCATTATCATTATCAAATCCAAATGTAAAATCGTCACGCCACAATGCATAAAATCAAATGATGTTTCTTTCCATGTAAGGCGAATAGAAACAATCTTTTAAAACAACTAAAAAACTAGAAGGTAATGAAAGCTCATAATCTCCAATATTTGTAATAGATACTCTGCTCTTGTTCCCCATGATCAAATCAAGCTACCCATGCCTTAGTTTCCTACTTCAACTTAGTCCCTACACATCATAACAAATGTTGGTTCCACATCCTGTGTCAAATATTCAATTATTAGAAGTAGAGGTTGAATGTAATTCAACTGTAAACGTACATGAAGTGCTAACACCCTTGCCCTTTCTCTTCTTAAGGTCCTCCAGGCACTTAGGTCTGCTACGTTTCCAATGGCCTTTTTCTTGGCAGTAGTAGCATATGGCTTCTTTTGGGTCATTTATTTGTGGTATGTTAGAAACGTCCTTCTTAGGGTTGGAATTGGGAGCACCTCCCCCTTTTCCCTTAACATTGGGATGAGAGGGCATCTTTCTCTTGACACCACCTTCCCTAATATCCAGAACAGGAGTAGTTGAACTTGTGTTCCTAGGTGGAACAATGCTTTCTTCAGTTGTCTTGAGAATCCGATGTCTTGAACTGCTTGTATGTACTAGTCAAAGAGTTTAAGAATAACATCAATAACCAACTATTGAGTTAATGGGAAGCCAAGACGTTCAAGTTTGTCAAAGTACCCCTTTTAGCTTTAGAACATGGGTACTCACAGAACAACCCTCCTGTTGCTTGCAACCTAGAAATGATTGCATCACCTTGAATCTCTCAGTTCGAGCTTGCTCTTTGTAACGCCCGTAGATCCGGGCTAGTCAATTTAGAGACGATAAACATCAAAAATGACTTTTTGATGGAAGATTATTTATAAGGAGTAATCTTAACTAAGTTGTAGTATATGTTACAAGGATTCCGTACATATAAAGAACGCCGAAATCCGAGTTATAACGAAGAAGTTATGACCTGTCGAAGTTTCGCGACAGAACCGGCACGACACAGCGCGACGTAAAATATGAATTTAAGATAGAGTGATATCTAGCCTTAGTGATCTAAACGAAAGTCGTAGAATACGTTAAATCGAGAGCGTGAATGAAAAGAACGTCTAAATCTGACTTCGTATGAAGAAGTTATGATTTTTCTAAGTTTCGACTTAGCGGTATACAGCCCAAATCTCGAAATTGAGATCGAGTGATATTTGGCCGAAACAATCTAAACGAGAATCAAATATCTCTTCGTTAGTAGTCCAACGGTAAAAATACAGACGAAAACGGACATCGGATGAAGAAGTTATGATTTTATAACGGAGTTTTCCTGTCCCGACCTACTAAAAATAATATATTAAAAATAAATTCAAAATTAGCCGACGGAGTCTAAACGAAAGTTGTAGAGCATAATCTCACCTACGCGTTAATATAAAGAACGTCGAAAACGAAGCTCGTATTCAAAAGTTATGAATTTTTGAAGTTCGAGGCACGTATACCAAAGCTTATCCGAACTACGCCCCGCGTAGATCTTCGTACGCCCAGCGTACGCATGAAAGAGGCGTTACGCCCCGCGTAAATGGAAGTTACGCCCAGCGTAACCCGATGACCAGCACCCTATAAATAGAAGACGAGGGATGCCGATCTTTTTGCTCAAAATTCTTCTCTCTCTCTCTCTCCCGTATTTCCTCGTTTTACGTGCAAGAAATACCCCCGAAGCCCCGGTATCATTCCCGAGACCCGAAGCAAGTCCCGAAGCCCTGAAGATCCCGAGAAGTAAAGTTTCCGAGCCGAAACTCTGCCCGCGAAAAGCCCGGTTTTGGAGAAAACATCCCGATTTTATCGGAAACGATTGTTTTAAGAGACGAGGTGCTGTCCGATCATCGCCTAATCAAGTGAGTGTGTAGTTACTTTCTTCTAACACATAAATATGAAGTATTTTCTATGAAATACGTGCTATATGTATATATATTATTGTTTATTTGAGGTGAGTATGGATCAGATCAAGATGTTAGTTTTAGGTCCGGGAGTATGGATCAGATCAAGAGGTTAGTTTTAGATCCGTGAGTAGGGATCAGGTAAAGAGGAAAATTTTAGATACGAGAG